AACTTACTCAACCCCTTCAAAGATTATCTCAATCCAAGAAAAATACAATACCCTTGTAAGCAAAGACAATTAGCCTAAAAAGTTCAAAAGAAAAAAAAGAAGAAGATTCATAACAGTTTCAATTTTAAACACTGTTTTTCTATCTTTTTTTAGAGAAGTCCGTTCAAGAGTACTGTCAGATCTGATTTTAAAGCCCTTTTAATAGTTGATTGGGAGCTCTTGCAATTAAAACTTATTTTGCCCTTCAAAACCACCTCACAATTGCTCCAGTCAAATTTCACCCTTTTTTTACTTCTTATGACAAGACTCTGATTTTTTGGAGTGTGTTTAGGGCAAAAATATGACATAAGGACCCGTACTTACACCAAATTCGCAATTTCGGACCCAAACTTTGATTGCACTCAATGAAGGTCCCGAACTCCATGAAATTCTCAAATAAGGACCCAATTGGACGGAAAACTAACTTCCGGTTAAATCTCCTATTATTCCGTTAATGTTCCGTCACATTTCACACCCGCCACTTGAAAAAATTGCTTAAATTCTAATTTTGGTCCCTCAACTTCATTGAGTTTCACTTTTTTGTCCCTCAACTTCATTCAATTTCACTTTTTTATCCCTCAACTTTATTGAATTGTACCTTCTTATCCTTCAACTTTATTAAGTTATACTTTTTTGATCCTTAAACTATTTTTTGTACTTTTTTTCTCCTTAAACTATTTTTTGCACTTTTTTTCTCCTTAAACTATTTTTTTCACTTTTTTTGTCCTTTAACTTTAACAACTACAAAATTTTAATACTTTCGTCAGTTTAAACCATTAGCTTCATTCATGTGGTATTTTTTATATTTTTTGATGACATGTATAATCTAACTGAAAAAAATAATAACATAGATCATCTAACTAGAAATAATGATGACATGGATAAATAAAATAATATGTCAATAAATTTTTATATTTTTAATAAAAATAAAAAAACCTCTTCACCTATTTTCTTCCCCCGCTAGAAGAAAGAGAAAGAAAGAAGGGGAAGAAAATAGGTAGAGAGATTTTTATTTTTTTTATAAAAAATATAAAGATTTATTTACATGTCATTAAAAAAATATAAAAATTACCAAGTGGACGGAGTTAATGGCTTAAACTGATGAAAGTATCAAAATTGTACAGTTATTTAAAGTTAAGAGATTAAAAAAGTGTAAAAAATAATTTAAGGACCAAAAAAATACAAAAAATAGTTTATGAACCAAAAAGTACAATTCAATAAAGTTGAGGGATAAAAACGTGAAATTTAATTAAGTTAAGGGACAAAAAAGTGAAATTTAATGAAGTTGAGGGACAAAAAAGTGAAACTCAATGAAGTTGAGGGACCAAAATTAGTATTTAACCAATTTTTTCAAGTGCGGTGTGAAATGTGACGGAAAAATTAACGGAATAATAAGAGATTTAACGGAAGTTAGTTTTCCGTCCAATTGGGTCCTTATTTGAGAATTTCGTGGAGTTCGGGACCTTCATTGAGTGCAATCGAAGTTTGGGTCCAAAATTACGAATTTGGTGTAAGTTCGGGTCCTTATGTCATATTTTTGCCGTGTGTTTAGTCATCTGAAACCCACTATGGCCCATTAAAACAAAACAGATAATTGAATAATCAAAGGTGTACCTTTCAGAATTTTTACTTCAAAATTAAAAATATTGGTTCAAACTATTTTTGAAAAAACTAAACTATGGGATTCATTTGAACCCAAAACTTTGGACAAGGAGGATATAATTTAATTCTAT